CATGTGATTCAGAGCGTGGTCACGCTGGAGGCGTTCCCGTAGCGTTTCGACGCAGCTCGAGTTCCTGAAAGGGAACACATCTCTTTCATCTTCATTTGACCCTCTAACTCTAGAACTCTCTATTCTATTTCTATTCTAACTTCTTGTTTTATTTATAAAGAAAAAAAAGCCCCTAACGACCCTCTAACACTAGCATTCCCTATTCTTTTTCTATTCTTTCTACTTGTTTTCTTTTTATTTATTATAAAAACAAAATAAGCAAACAAAAAAAAACAACCTTGCTACACATACTGTTTGGTGAAGCCCCGCCCACTAACCCCGCCAATCCATAATTTTTATTTATTTATTTATTTTTTAATAAGTATCGGTTCAGGCACCATTTAGGCACTGGAACCGTTTTAAAAGTATCGATTTGGCACCGGTATCGAAAAAAAAAAAAACGATACCCAACCCTAGTGCTCGTGCACACACCCCATAGTGAAATGAGTGAGCGTCGGCAAGGCTGTATATATATTGTACAAGAGACTTAACATGATAAGGTAAGAGTAACACTAGGGTATCCTAAGGTAATTAAATTAATTAAGGACAGATAAGGTAATTAAAATTGCACTGTTACAATAGTTTGACTATAAACTATCTAGATCTGGCTACTCAAGACTATAATTTGAAATAATCCCTTCTCTTTGCATGATACTGTATATTGAGTGCATTTATGTGATAGCTTATGCTAATGTCGGCTAGCTAACTAGCCTTATTAAATTTGCTGGATGATAACAGTAATTACTAGCAAAGTAGACAGCACAAATAAAATAAATACACATACTAATAAAATATGCTGACATACTTCTATATTAACATGATTCCAATACAACTTCATTAAAACAATGCACTAGAATATACATTTTATAATTAAGTAACATTACAGTACATGCTGACCCTAGTATTCCCTGAAAGTTATTCATATTCCCACTTGGCCAGATGGGATTTACTGTATAAAACATCTCAGGTTAGGCATGTAACCATGGTTCTCTTTCAAATGGGAACTCAAGCTGCATCCTCTTGAGGGTCCTATGGAGAATGGGATACCCACACTGCCATAATGAAGATACGAGTGCCTTAATGGCTCAACTAAGTCAAAGACTCAAAGGATTCCTCATTCCTGAGGTGCACACCAGCAACATTTCAAAGACCGAAGCTTCTTAAAGAACAGAGGACTCAAAGAGTGACTCTTGAGAGAGGAAGCCATCGATGTTTGATTCAGGCTGGCATCCAAGGAGG